GCGATAAAAAGCAGATTGCCCCTGCGGAGAGAAGCCAGTGTCCAGGAGGAAATAGGGCCTGGGTGCTGGTGGTGCTGCACAGACGCCTTGATCAGGTAGAATGCTCCAGAAGAAAGGCGGGAAAGAGGAAAATAAAGAAATGTTTTTAAAGTTTGACATGAACAGCATTCTTCTTTGCAGCAAGTACTCTCAGCAGCATATGAGCCAGGGTACCCATGTAACCAGAACACCTTTGCAAGGCTTACAAGAAATAACACTTGATCTGCCCAACACCAAAAATAATGTGACATCAAGGAACGTGAAATATTCACGAGGTCGGATTTAACATGCACATTAGATCTTGTGTATAGCATCATAGGCTTTAACACTGCTGCCTCTGCAACCTTGTAATCCCCATGCACGGCATGGACACTGGGTCTTGTTAGTTCAAACTGAAAACAGGGGAACTTCCAGGGGCAGAGCTTCCTTGAAGAACACAGAACACTAAGGCAGTGCAGTTGGCCATATCTCTAGTGCTGTGCCCATGCAAGAGCTGTGTGTGCACACATGCACACCTACACTCACAACAAATCACAAGTGGGAGCGAAGCTGAACACCCATAAATCAGCTCAGCAATGCACAGTGGGGGTTCACATCAGAGACTTTAACAGGTTACTTCTCTGTGCGTTTCCTCTATAGGCACATGCACGTAAAACAGGGATGATGCTGCTCAGAGCTGACATCTTGCCGGTGTACACCTGAAGAAAATCTGTTCTTTGGAGCTTCCCATTTCAGGAAAGTACGTTGGGCCAGGTCTCCCAGAGCAGCAATATCAATCTTAGTGAGACCAGACACTGTCATCTATGGATATTTAATAGCATTTTAAAACCAGAACCCCTCCCACCTCACCTCAGCTTTCTCCTGCCCCTGCCTGGGGCTGGTCTGCTCCCAGCGGACACAGGGCAGGAGCCCACGGGAGCCACACGCCCGTCCTCAGCACACACAAGCACCAGCTCCGAGTCACCAGCCAGGACGTGCTCATTTCAAACAACTCAACTGTAAGAAAAATACAAGGCAGCTACGGAGGAGCACTTCCAGAGTTGTGGACTTCTGCCCTGGGGCAGGATCCAAACCTGCTTCCAGTACCCGTGAAATGGCAGCTCTGAGCTGTCTTGCGGCTGATCCAGCTCCAAGGGACCAATGGTAGAATCAGCATAAAAGTAAAATATATGAAACAACATTAGCACAAAATTAAAAGATTTGCTTAACCAGACAGCGCTGAAATCTCTCCTTCTGGGGGACAGAGCATGCAGGGGTGGGAAGAATTCGGAACAAGAGTCCATGGTGTCAATACTGATGCTCCGAATCTTCTCGTAAAGAGATCACAGCATTTCAGCTGCTGCTTTAGCTCATTAGGGGACAGTCACATCATGGCACTGTGATGGGATCAGGCTCCGGCTGGGAAGCAGGCAGAAGAGACCAAATTCAGTGGAAAGTGTAAGATGAACACGGCATCACTAATTACGAGTGACTGTGCCTCATCAGGCAAACTGCTGTGCTGTAGTCACCTCAGCAGTTATACAGCAAGCACTCCTCGCCCTTGCAAGTGGCAGCAATAATAGTCTAAGAGAAGAAATCTGGAAAGAAGTTGGATACTGGAACACCACAATCTTTTCCTAAGCACGTAAGAAAGCTGAGCAGCAACCGTCCACATTTTTAAAAATAAAAGAGAAAAAGTGGTACCCTGCTGAATATTGTCTGCTATACAGAAAACAGCAGTGTCTTAAAATTGTTGATAACCAATTTATAAGATGACAGTATTTGGGAAGCACAGCTGCCCTCCCACACACCTGGAGCACACGGGCAGGCTCTCTGCCCAGGCAAGGGTAGCACAACACGGCTTATGCCCTTCTGTGAGCCCAGAAGGGCTAAGCCCACACCAGGGATGCGTTTGCCTGGTACCAACCGCCCCACCTGGCCAGAGACCTTTTGCTCATCACCTCGGCTCTCTTCACCAGCCTGAGATGTGGACTCCGGGTCAGCAGCCAGGCACCAGCTCCCCTGGACTGTGGGGAAGGCAAGCAGGTCACCCCAGCCCCTGCTGATGGAGCACCTGCCCCGAGCGCAATGGGTAAAGCTCAGTGCCACCATGGGACTAAGCACAACCTGAACGCAAGAGCAAGAGCTGCTCTGAAGAGCATCTGCTGGGGCCAGGCACTGCTCAGCAGCAGAGTGTCCCTGGATTAGTGCAGGACAGACCTAAACCCCTCTCACAATGGCAATGTGCTTAACTCCTGTTCCTTATCTACACTTCCTATTTTCTATATTTACTATTCACTTTGTTTGAGCATTGTTAAGTAAGCATTTGTACATCTGCTTTTCTTTAATATACCAACACCACGGTCCTACCTTCCCTGTGCTTTAGTACTGAAATAGTAGTATAAGCTCACACTTTCACCTTAGTGAGAAACAACCAGCGGGGAAAAAAAAAAGTCTCCCTCCAGTAATTGCTATTTAATCCCTGACCAGGAAAACTAACAAGTTATTCTAAGAGAGGCAAACCTTTGGGGCATTTGATTTTTAGAACAGCTGAGCACTGCGGCACTGCAAAAATGAGATATACAGAGTATTTTATTTTTGCTGCTCAACAGCACGAAAGAGCTAATGCAGTGGGGCTGCCAGTGCCTTATACAATCTGACACACCGAACAACCCAAGGGTGCTCGTCCTCCCCAGCACTCACAGCACATCTCATCCATTAGGAGAACACAATGTGAAAACTGACCCTTCCCTTCTGAGTATCGATATAAATCCTGTTTGCCATTCAGGTTAGTTCAGAATGAAGAGGCTACTGAAATGACTCCTAGTATAGAAAAGCAGTACAATTCACCATTCAATGCAAACAAGAGTTTGTTTTCTTTAAGAAACAAGCAAACAAACCCTCTGTTGTTAATTTATGATTTTGTTTCTTCTTCCCTTAAAGCCTGGCTGTCACACAGAAATTCTTAAGCAAAGGCTGCAGTTACAGCATGACCAAACACTAAACACAATAGTACATGTGTGGGGAACACACAAGAGAACAGCTGAAGACAGATTTTCAGAGTTGGAAATTAATTTAAATGTCATCATGATACATTGTCTGAAACCCTTGAATCATCATCCTCCTTTACCTTTTTACTGGAATGTATCATCTAAGCTACTACATCTGCTCAGCTATTTGGAAATTAGTAAATATTCAGTAAAAACAGCAAAACTTTTTGAATTCAGGATCTCTACAACAGCCCCAAAATTCTGTGCTCCTCTATAAAAACCAGTCTCATCACAAAAAAGGAAGCTAAGTCTGTAACAAAAGCTAACAAAACACACACTACACACTGAATCCTCTAAGAGATTTCTTATTATGCTCTGCATGCCACGAGAAGTTATTAATATCCTAACCTGCAGCATTTGCTAGCTTGTTTGTACCATAAAGTGAAACATTTCTTTACAGAGTACTTGATGAAATAACTGCTCAAAGTGACTTTATTTTAAAATCTCAAAAATCAGTTTACTGTAATTTTGAATGAGAATTTGATAGTCCTATATTAGGTGATGTAGAATACCTACATTTTAAGAGACATTGAGAATGCAGTAAGTTATAACATTATCAATGGCAAATGCATCGTTGCTTAGACAAGTAGTATTCACCCCTCACCCAAGGCACAAAATGCAACAAAATCAAACCACACTGAAGACAAGAATTTTTAAGTATAAATTTTTAAGCGTAAGTTACATTTGAGATGTTATAAATTTTTATATCTATTAAAAAAGTATACACGAATTGCTATTCAGGATGCATTGCTTTTGCTAGAAAATCCCTTTTAAAGCTGCTGTTTTCACAGCACATATTTTGTACTGATTTAAGTGGGGGAACTATCAAGTGCCAGGTGTCTGAGAACACTGGAAAATCCTCTGCCAACTAAAAGAAAGAATTAGGTCCTTTACTACCAGATTTCGATGAAGTATTTCATCAGTGCAAGAGCTCTGTATGGGCTCATATTTCAAAAGTTCTCCCAACAGACAAAACGCCGCAGGAATCCAGGAACCTGCAAAGGCAAACACAATCCCCACATGCGACTTTTCTTGATGCTGCAAGAGAAGGTTTAAAGTAGAGATGCAGGATCATTCTTCCAGGAACTCAGAATGTAAAAACTAAATTTTCAGCCTTTCTTGGCATAACGGCAAAATATTCGGGCATGAAACCACGAAAGGGAAAGTTGGTGACATCAGACAACCGGAGAGCGTGGTTTGAGTGGAATCTACTTAGCAACACCGGTGTGCATGTATTACCTCTGCGACACGCAGGAGGAAAGTTACGTGCGGGCTCTTTTCTGCTCAAACTGCGGAGAGTTCCCTTCGGATCACTAAAACACCGCGGAAGGTGCGCGGACAGTGCAGGGCACGAGCGCATCCCCGCAGGGCAGCGGCTCCGCAAAGCGCGTTACCGGGCGGGCAAACCCCGCCGAGCGCCGCTGGTGCGAACCGGGGCACCGGGGACACCGGGGGCCTCGGGAACGGGGCTCCGCGGGCGGCACGGGGGGCTCGGCGGGGCCCCGCGAAGGCAACGCCACCGGCCCCGGCCCCGGCCCCGACGGCCGCCCCGCTCCCGGCCGGGCGCGCAGCCTGCAAAGACGACACGAGACCGGTTCCTGGGTAAATGGTTTATGTAAGTAATAAAATATTTACTATAACATAAATAGAAACGTACCCTCGCAGTCTACATTGGTTTTGCAATAGAGATACAAACAAAAACCGAAACCCAAGGGGATGGGACCGGACCGAACCCACCAACGGGAGGGTGCGAGCTCCGCGCACGGTTAGAAATAAATAGAGACGGGCCGGGAAATGGTGTCGAAGCGTCCCCCCGGCCGCGCGAGGAGGGGAATAAATTAGAGATCGCAAACCTTTGGCTACTGCTGCGGCGGCCGCGGCGGCTCCGGCGGGAGAATAAATAGAGCGCGGGGCGCGGACCGGGCGGCCGGGCCAGTCTGAGAATAAATTAAAGCGCGTCCTCCGCCGCCCGCCGAGCCGCCGTCGGGGCCGCGGGGGCCCGGGCAGTCACTGCACGGCGCCGGGCAGCGCGTGGTGTAGCGGCGACGTGTCCGCCTGTGCGTAAACGTCCTCCATCGGGGGGTGCGGGACCCCGGCCGGCGTCATCCGCTTCTCCTTCTGCCGCCGGTTGCAGAACCAGACCCGCACCACCTCTTTCTCCAGCTGGAGGGAGTCCGCCAGGGAGGTGATCTCGTGCGCCGAGGGCTTGGGGCACTTGAGGAAGTGGTTCTCCAGGGCGCCCTTGACGCCCACCTCGATGGACGTCCGCTTCTTGCGCTTCCGACCCTGCGCCGCGATCTTGTCCAGGTTGGTGGGGCTGCCCGTGCTGGAGTCCGTCTCCTCCAGCCACTTGTTGAGCAGCGGCTTCAGCTTGCACATGTTCTTGAAGCTCAGCTGCAGCGCCTCGAACCGGCAGATCGTGGTCTGCGAGAAGACGTTCCCGTACAGGGTGCCCAGCGCCAGCCCCACGTCGGCCTGCGTGAAGCCCAGCTTGATCCGCCGCTGCTTGAACTGCTTGGCGAACTGCTCCAGGTCGTCGGAGCTGGGCGCGTCCTCGTCCGACGGCTCGGGCGGACCCAGCGGCGGCGGCGATGCCGCCAGTTCGTGCCCGCCCGCCTCCTCGGCGCCCAGCGGGTCGCGCAGCCCGTGGTGCAGCGCGGGAGCCGGCGGGCCCAGCATCCCGTTGAGGCCCGCGTAGGGCTGCGCGTAGAGCAGCGGCTGCCCCGACGGCGGGGACATGGGCGGCAGGTGGTGCGCGCCGCCCTGCGCCCACCCGCCCGCCGCGCCGCCCGCCGCCGGCTGCGGCACCAGATGCGGGCGGTGGTGGAAGGCGGCGGCGGACAGCTCTTCGCGGGGCCCTGGCGGGCCGTTCTTGGCGTGCTCGGCGGGCGGGAGGTGCGCGCCCCCGCCGCCCCCGCCGCTGCCCCAGTCCGTGCCGGCGCTGGGCAGCCACTGGTGGTGCGCCAGCCCGACGGCGTGCCCGGCGGCGGGGGCCAGCCCCTGCAGGTACTCGTGGTGCATCATCTTCTGCACCTCGCGGTACGTGGTGCCCTGGTGCAGGCGGTCGCTGTCGGGGTGCATGAGCGCGGCGGAGCGCGGCAGGTACTGCGCGGCGGCGGCCATAGCGAGTGCGCCCGCCGGCTTTACCGCCGCGCTTTAGAGCCGCGCGCCGGGGCGCGGGGCCGCCGCGCGCCGGCCCCGCCCCCGCCGCCCCATTGGCCCGCCTGCCTCCGCGGGTGGCCCGCGCCGCGTCGCCATTGGGCGCCGCCCCGCGCTCCGCGCCGCCATTGGCCGGCGGCATCGGCCGGCGGGGGCGCTCGGCGGGGCAGCCCCGCGGCGCAGCGGCCGCCGATTGGCTGAGGGCGGTTCATTCATGCCGAGCGGCCGCGTGGGCCGCGCGCGAGCGCCTCGCCCGGGGGGGATCGCGGGACCCTCGGCCCGGGGGGCTCCGGTGGTGCGGGGAGGGGGGGACGTGGCCCTTCCGCAGCCGATGTGCGGGGCGGCCGCTGGCGCTTAGCCACTCGACGCAGTAGTAATCAAGAACAACTTGGGACATTAAAAGCCCTGATTGAGCCTTCTGGTAAACTTAGACCCTGGGAATGTGGGAGCTCCTTCAAACGCTTCTTAGGATAGAGCACCAAGGGCCAAGAAATGAGGGTTTGAGACTGTTTGGGCATCACGGGAATGTGGGTCTTGGATGCTGCCTCAGAGGCAAGTCTCTGAGCCGGTTTGGGAGTTGGCATAGGATAAAGGGTGGAGGAATTAATGGGAAAAGACAATGACAACAAGCAACAGACGTGTCTGGCAGTGCTGGGAGAGAGGCAAGGGATGCCTTAATTAAGCCAGCTCCAGACTTCGTCTGGGTCTTGAAGCCCAAAGTGAATCAGGGTGGGCACCAGGAACATTAATCACTTCTAAAAATTAATCTTCCTCTCTGTGCTCCATTTGTAAAATGGGAGCAGAGACAGTGACCTTTGCCAAGGGCTTGGGTGAACAATGAACCATCAGATCAATATGTGTACGAGTCTAACATGTCAATGTTAGATGCCCTCCGCTCTCGCCGCCTGGGCAGGGTGGCTCAGCAGTGTTAAGGACAGTAACAGCAGCCTCCTGAAAGGTTTTTTGTGAGAAGGTGTGCCACATCCCTTCCCTCCATGTTGGAGGCACTTTGTCCTTTCGGTGCGCCAAAGGACTAGTTTGGACTTGGGACACTCCAGCCCTACACTCTGGGACCATGGGGAGAGCAGACAGAAGAGCCACTGTTGGCTTCTGGGCTTGGGGGGACCAAGCAGGATGCTGCAACACCCCACACTATCTTGTGTGCAGCACAGGGCCTACCTCTGCCTGCACTACCCTCCTGGTGCTGGTGCAGCCACGGCCCTGTGGGCTGTGGTGCCCCTGGTGCTGTGGGGCGAAGGCACTGCCTACACCCACCCTGTGATCACTGATTTGGTGCACACCGACCCCTCTCCTGGTTCATCCAGCTCCTGGAGCGGCTGGTCGGGTGGGATCACACGGGGCTGGAAAACTCCGTCTCCTCCTCCAGGCTTGCAGTGGGTGGGTGGCAACACCCAGCCCAGCAGGAACCACTCCTGCCCTTCAGCAGCCAAGGACCAAACCGGATCAGCTGCAGGATCAGTGCCGGTCCACGGCGAAGGCTTGGCATCCCATCAGGGGCCTGGGGAGCTGCTGGGCCTTGTCTTGCTGAATCACAGAAAGACCAGCCACAAGAGCCATATACCTTGCTGCTGGCAGGCTGGACTTTGTGCTGGACTTTGCACTGTCCTTGGGGACAAGTTTAGGATTGAACATGTGCATTTTTGGCTGTGGAATGATGTGTAATTGGTTCCTTTCACTGAACCCAGTGTCTCTTTTCAGGTATACAGCCCTAGAAAGAGGGTGGACTTTGCAGGAGAGGTGAGTTCCATAGATCATGGAGCATATTTCATTAGGAGAATAATGTTATCTTTATTTTTTTCCTGAGCAATCCTTTGCACACACTGCATGTGTTTGTAATGAATATAACCCTTTCAGATGATTCAGTGACATGCTGTAAAATATCATACTTGGCTAAGCATTTTCTGTATATTTTTTCCGACCTAGAGTCATTCATGTCAACTCTCCATGATGCAGTGCTATAATATTCAAATATTTGGTAGCCAATTGCTTTTGATATTTATATCCATTTTAAGGGAGTCACAATGAATAAATGTGTCCAGCTCGAACTTTATGCAAAATAAGCTATGTGTAAATCAGTAAATCATTAATAGAATGAATAATTTGCAAAGACTGAAGACTGGATTGTGTTTCAAGCTTTCATCTGTTTTATGTATTTTAGAAGTCGCCAATGGAGAAAACACATTGTGTGTGATAACTGAGGTCCCCATCACAGACCATGTACACAGTAGTGTGGTTTATACTTGATCAAATGATCTTTGTAAACCAAGGCATTTTGTATAGATTGTGCTCTGGGCTTGTTCTGCTTAATAAAAGTAGAATTTAAAGACTGGGAACAGCAAACAGCAGAGGAAGATGAGACATTCCTATTTAACACCTTCCTCGGCAACCCCCAACTCCAGAAGCGAGAGCTGGGTGGCAAAGTTCTCTCTTTTATTAAACAACGTGAAGGAGGTAAAAGCAAAGGAGGGGGCTGACACTAAGTGAAGAGGACAGGAAGGATTAAGATGCCCGTATAAGCACTAACTTCACAAGCTGGACATGCGTATTTGTGTTCCTGGTGTCCCTGTCTCCACTGAGGTCTGGAACTGAAGAGTTGTGCAGCTTGAAACACCCTGCTAGCATTACAGTATATTGAAAGTGTCTTTCCTTTTTTTTATTATATGTATTCTTATTTTTACATAGCTTTTTCAGAGCTGTGTCATCCAGCAAATCCCTGTGGGAGGGCATCCCGGTTTCCTAGCAAAAGCCGGTTCCTTCATTATGCCTTACTGGGGATATTGGCATGCAGTCCATTCCCTCTTCAAGGAATAAACAACCCCATGGGCAATGTTCAATATGATTCATTCTCTGTGTGACTGTGACAGCATCAAAACCTGCCTAATGCAGCTGGATCTGAGGCTGGCAGGAGGACTGGAATAAGGAGGAGGCTTGGCATGGGGGGGAGTGGAGCCTGAGCCGCTGTGAGGGGGCTGCTGGCAGTGCAGTGCTGTGCTGCTGCTGTTCCCCTGAGCAGGGAACAGGGAACAGGAGTTGCTGTTCCTTGGGGATGGTCTGTGACTCTGGACTATGCCATGTCAGGACATCCAGTCACGGAGAAACTGCATCACATCTGGGTCTCCTACACTGAGTGAACCGGCTCCGGCTCGTGTCCAGGCCTGTCCCAGACACCAGTTGAAACAACTGGGTCAAACATTGGATCAGGAGGTCTGCACCATTTCTGCAGCAAGGAAAGACACCAGCATTACCTGTCAGCTGAAAGGAGGCCAAGAATCAATTCTTCTCAGAGTAGACTCTGCCTGTAAGTGTGAAACTGCCCTGAGGAGAGGCAGCACTTTCCAGAATTTTTAGCATTTTGTCTAAATGTCCTTCATCTAGGACTAGAGCAGAGATAATAAATTTTTACAACTTTTTGGATGGCTATACCTCTTGGCAAAATCTTATTTTTGCTTTGCTCATCTAAACTTGCAGAATTCTTAATTTAGTGAGTGACAGTTAACAAGTTAGTGGCTGGGACAGCAGTGAATTTAACCATAAAACTAGAGAAGAGAACTAGAGAATGAATCATGGAGAACAGTTAATACAGATGTGCAAGGTATGCTAACTATGATTAGCTTTAGTCATATACAGTCCTGTAATTATTTGAAAATTGTGCAGAAATATCCTCTCACAAGACCAAAATGAATCAAAAAATGCTGTTCTGATCTTTTATTGAATCAATGAAATTTAGATTAGGCAGTTACTAAATTCCTGTTTACACAACAGACCTTAATGGCTCCAAAGGAAGCCCTCAAATGTATTTGACAAATAATCCCTATTTATGAAAGCCCCATAATATGCATTTACATAATCCCCACTTTAAAAAGCTATATCGGCTCTAAAGTTCTTCAGCTCAGAGATACGCCCCAGGGGATTAACGTACCAAACAAAACAAAGGGAAGTAAAATGTACACACACATCCACCAACACGCACTACAGCCTTCAGGATTAACACATGCAGGAGGAAGCAGGGATAACCCACCAGCTCCCCTCACCCTCCTCCACCGCCAGCAGGGTTTGTGCATGTGCACAGGCATGAACACATGCACATGCCCATCTCTACAAGTGGCTCCACATGATTCTGAGCACGTGCGTGGTACCGCGGGGTCTCTCTGCATCGTGTCCCTCCCAGCTCTCCTGGCCTTTTTTCACACGTGCAATATTGGTTCATCCTGTATGTCCAGTAAGTACCATAATGAAACAAGCAGTCTGTACTCATGTTTTGAGGTGTGCATAGCAGCTTTAGTAAGCAGCTGAACTGACACAGAACCGGTGGATTGTGCATTTTATTCATACTCAAGATGACTGGACAGTTGCTGATATTCTCATGTGATGGATGCGGCATTTTGCTGTCGAAGTACGACATGGTATGGATCTGCAACAAGCATGTTAATGTTGCTGAAGGGTTTGAATTAAAAAAAGCTGTTCTTCACTGTGGAAAACAAGCTATCTGAAAAGCTGATTATCCCGAAGTGCAAATTTTGGATACTGATTTTTTACCTTCTTTAATTTTACCCTGTCTTTGCAGCTACCCCTTGTTTAGGAACAAAAGGGTTGGACTTGATGATCTCAGAGGTCTTTTCCAAACTGTTTGATTCTATGATTCTATGATTCCATGAAAATGCTACAGGTCTTGTCTCATGAAGCCCCAGTTTTGCAATTCTAGTGGTTGGGTAAAATATATATTGGATTCAAAGTAAGAAAGGGAAAATACTGAAGAATTCATTTCCAGCCTCAGAGAAATGCCTTTGCTGCCTGTACATTCTGAATTCTCTGTATGTGTCTTTTGCTTCAAACTTTTTGATTAGCATTTCTAATACAAATGAGAACACAAAAGCACAGAAATGGAGTTTACCCTCAGTGAATGGCAGCATTGAAGTTCTGTGGAGATTCGTGTGCACAAAGCT